CCCGCCGCCGCCGCTCGCCCCGCCGTCCGCGCCGCGCTCGGGCTCCTCCCGCACGGCCGCGGGGCTGCAGGGAGAGGAAGCGAGGGGAAGCAGCCCAGAAAACTTTCCTCTTGGACCGCGCTCAAGTGAGGGAGGGAAGTTCGCTGGTGCCTCCCTCCAGCGCCGCGCTTGGTTCGTTCGTTCGTTCGCAGGCGCCCGCGGGAGACCCACACAAAGCAGGAGTTAGTTTGTCATCCGCGCAGCGGGAAAGTGCACTGACGCACGCTTGGACTTCGCGGCCGGCTTTTGAAAAAAATAGTTGCTCTCATTTAGAAAATGCTGCAGCTTTTTTTCAACACACCTTTTTTGTATGTGAGAATTCATAGACATTGAATACTTTGAATTACAGAGTTTTTAAATTATTGCTAACTGAGGCAAGAAAACAATTCGCTAGGCTATAAACTGCCACAGTTTAGAAATACATCTGCCGCAGATAGTACGTCCATCCAGGGTCTTGTAACGTTTACCTGCAAACGGTTTTATCACACAGTTCTAGGTAGGATAAAGGCAGTGGAAGAAGGTGCGTTTTGACATCCTGTAGAGGGACCCTGATTACTGCTGATACAGTAAGTTGGAATTTAAATGCAATCAACATAAACCCAATAAGCAACTCTTTATTCGCTGTTTCCCATTCTTTTCAGTAAAAAGTTCCTTTCCTGGAAGAGATGCTCCTTGTCTCCACAGAACGCTTCTGAGAGCTGTCTGTCGCGATGGCTGTCTTGTTAGAACACCGTGTGCTTGCACTAACCTTAGAACCGAGTAGCTCGTGCCACGCTTTTAAAATTACATGCCACCATCAGGATTTTCCTTGAGTTAGAGTAGGTCTGTAGGGGTGTGTGTGTGTGTGTGTGTGTGTGTGTGTGTGTGTGTTTTGAAAGGGAAGATTGTTTAGGTTTCCCTCTAGATGAAAAAGAGTTAATAAAACCAGATAGAGATAATGATCAATTGATAAATGGCTATTGAACCACATAGATGGTGTTAGATTGCCTCTTTGGCACCAGCCCATGTCCAAGTAGATTTGAATCTGAGGACACTTTAAGCTGTAGAAAACTGAGTTTATATAAAGTTCTGAATTAGAAAAATAATTTTAAATCACTGAGAAAAACTTGTACAACTTAAGCTATCATGATTCTCATGATGACTTCAACCCAGCTATTTGGACAAAGATTTAGTGTGTGTGTGCACGTATGGGTGTGTATGATAGCATCAGCGACCACCAGAAGAGAATAAATTATGGGCAAGTGATTTATCCTTAATGATATCGTGTAGGGCCATCTAATATTAATTATATTATTTATTAAACTGCTAGAATAAAAGGAAAATTATGAATTTAAAAGGTATTGTGAATGAACTGTATTTAAAAAATTTTGGGGGTGGTAGTGATTCCTTCTCCCCTTTTTTGTCATAGTTATTAAATGTTTACCTTCTATGCATTTTTGAAAACATGTAAGGAGATTGTGCATTTATATGTGTGGCTTGTTTCTTCATTCAAGATGACATTTCAGTTTGTATGAATACTGTATAAACTTTAAATTCAAACTATATATGAGTGTGTGTTTACACAGTGCTGATGTAGTGTGCCAGTGTATGCGTGTAAGGGAGACACTTCTTGAAGCCAAAAGTTTTGAGGAATATTAATTTCACTATCCACATTAAATAAGCCTATATTAAAGGTAAACATTTCTCAAATTTATTCAAGTATATAGAGTTCTGTGTATCTCATTTGAGAAACATAGGGAGGTTTTCTAAATGATTATTTTAATATTTTAAGTAAAGCATTCATTCAGCTCATAAAATGAATAAAAGCTCTTGAACATACTTTTTATTTTAAAATTTTGTTTAGTAGTATAAATTGGGCATGTTTTTATTTTCAAAAGTTTTCTTTAATATAAAATTATGATTTCTCTGATTATTTCTTAAAAAATTAGGAAGATTGACTTTTGTATGGCAAATATAAAGTATTTTAAAGCTAACAAAAATTCTATCAGTACTTAACTGTACAGAACTTGTGGGAAATGTCTCATAAATACTGAAAGTTAATAATCCATGTTTGGATCTTCTACAGGTTGAGTAGGAAGTAGGGGTATAAAATTCTGACTGTTTTATATGAGCAACATTGGATTTCCTTAAATACATATCTTTCCTTCTGTCTAGTAATAACAAAAAGATGTCTCAGTCTAAAGTCAGTTTATATTTGGTGGGGATTATGCGTGTAACCTGAAAGTTTGAGATGTGACTACTGACCCTATTTTCCTTTTTTTGTACATTTTTTCTCCCACATATGATTTTCTCAAAAAAGAACCATTTCTTAGTATATAGGTGAGTACTTGAAAACCTTAAAAAAAGTAATTAGATTTTTGTAAAGGGAGTTCTCGAATCAGCATGATCAGTGACAGATTGAGAATGATCAGAAGGCTTTCGCTCTTTTTTTCTCCCCATCTCCTGGAACCTTATTTTCCCCAATATTGCTTAATGAAATACTGTTAGAAGCCAGAAAAAGCACCCATCTTAGAAGCTTTTTAAAAATAAGACTTTAAAAGATGCTTTCCTACTTCTGTACATATTTTCATACATCTGAAAGGGCAGCAAATAAAATTCTTGTAGCTATCTCAAGAGATGGGATAGTCTAATTTATCTTAAAATCTTCAGAAACAGAACCTCCCAGGTAAATGGCCATCGTCTATGTTTTATATTTTACTAGACATATTTACCTTTTATTAATGATGAGGTATATTTAACCTGTTTCAAATAAAAATGTAGATTCCTTAATAAGGTATCTTTTTAGACTTGAATGAAATACTAAGTTAGAATTATAAATGACTTTGTGCATCATTATGTAGTAATTTAGGATTCACCCAATGATGTAACAAAATTAACAACATAATTTCATTGTGAAACTGTGTCTTATTAAAGAACAACTGTCTGACATTCTCTTACAGTTGCTTTATTTAACTTCATGCAAATATTATTAGTAGTGACATTTTTCTATTGTGCATTAGATTCTCTCATTACCATGATGTGCTAGTTATCACCAGAGAAATCATTTCTTAGATAGGTGAGGGGCAAACCAAGAAAGCTAAAAATTAAATCAGCGATTGACATTAGTCCCAGAGCGTCTGCTCACCAGAGATATGCCAGAGCAAAGCCAACTTTCTTACCAGTATAAACCCAGCAATTTTCAGGGAAATGATAAATAAAATGTGAGGAAGTATAATATTGTTTGGATGCCGGCCTCTGTCTAAAAAGTGTGCTCAGCATGCATTTTCTTCCAGCAGTCTTCTGAGTCTTTCTGTCATAAAGACAAATGAACTCTGGTTTTGTGGGATCCTTATTTTAAAATGAAAATGGTGGTTTTGTCTGATTTCATATCCCTCTAAGAAGGATTTGAATATTTATTCACTAACTGTTTGAAAGGTACATACCCTGTGTTTCTCGTAAGTCACATGCATAATTGTATGTTGTGCTTTGATTCTTCTTTATAGTTCATACATTTTTATTCTAAACCCTGTCCCACCCAGATAGACATCCCTTCTTAGTACAGAATGAATATTCTTATTTAACCACAGCCCCGGGTAAAGCAGTTGATAGTTAATGGCCTTTGAAAATAGCTTTCATTGCCAGCATTGTCTGCCGTATGTTTCTTTCTGCACTTTCTTTTCCTTCCTTTTTTGCTTCTGTTGGTATATTTTGGTAAACACATCTTACTAAACATGGATAAGATTGACCAAATGATAGTCCTGCTGATAAGAAGAAATTATATTAGAAGGCATTTAATTTTATCCTGTTGATTATTAGGCTCCTACTTCAGATTTCAGTCCTTCTCTAATTTGGAGTGGTAACGTGTTTTATTTTTAAGTTGTAACAATAGGCATATGTTCAAATGTAGTTCTTACTATTCATTTTGGTAATGTAATATTAATATTTGGGGAATTATTAATATATAAATCGTAGCATAGAGGCACGTGTTTGTCTCTCGGCCTGTACTTTGTAAACCTGTGGCTCACTTGCTGATCTCACTTAACAGGTGAATCATAATGGTTGTAATGAGATAGGGACGTAGCAGGTCCTGCACATGTGATGCTACAGGTCTGTGTACAAGTTAGTACAAAGAAAGCATGTACAAGTACGTTCTCAGCTGTGTGTGCAGCATATGGTAGAAACCTGTACAAAAATTTCAAGTTTATTTTTAACATGATACATTTAAATGAATGTGAACATAGTAGGTTATCATTTTATTGTTTTGGGGAGGAGTACAGGGTCTCACTAGGTAGCCCACATTGGCCTTGAGCTCACGGCAGTCCTCCTGCCTCAGCCTCCAGAGTACTGGGATTGCAAGCATACACCACCCTCCCTAGCTAGGTTTAAAATTACTTGATTTTCTTACCTTTCTGTCATCTGCAAACAGAGGCATTGTGTTTATATAATTGTAATGCCTTTTTAAAATGAGGTT